AAGAATGTTGTTTATTAGCGAACAATAAATTCAACAAAAACTCACAATAGTATTTAGAATATTAAAAGGGGCAAGTTTTTGTTTTTTAAATTCCTTCCTTCTTTCACTATATACCCACAGAGTTGACTTTGAGTTGATTCTGACTCAGAGTAACCCTATGTGTTGGTGAATATATAACTGTGCTCCATAGGCTTTTCAAGGCTGTGACCTTTTGGAAGCAGATTACCAAACCTTTCTTCTAAGACGCCTGTGGGTGGGGGTTTGAACTGCTCTTTCAGTTAGTAGAGCACTTAACTGTTTGGGCTCCATATACATGGGAGTTTCAAAGTTGTGGAAATTTGAAATTAAATTGATAAAGGAATTTAAATAGGCACTTTTGTTAAAAGTACTGCCTCAGCCCAACAGCCCTCTGATAATGTATCTATAAAATAATATTAACTGTATTTAAACTGCTATAAAATGGACTAGCACTAGCCATGGTGTCTCATGTCTAAAAGTAAACTGAAGCAGACGTCACAACTGATCCCCTCATCACCGGAACGATTTCATCTACAGCAATTTGAACACTATCTAAAACTGGAGACAAGCCAATAGCTCTCACTGCTTACTTAAATCACAGTCAGGTAAACTGTGATGAAATACCTTATAAATGCCCGATTTCAAATAAAACTGGTTTCCAGAATTGAAATCTTTTGAGGTAGTCTTTTCCCTAAAGAAAATATGAGTTTTCATATTTATTATTTTAGGTTAAAACATTTCATTTGAATTTTTCTATTTACTCTAGCTGGGGCACATGAAGTTTTCAGCACCCCTTCCTAATTAGAATGAGCCCTTGTATACACAACACAGAGGGTGGTAAAAGGAAGCAACATAGTGAGATGCTACAGCTAGCCTGGGATTTAAAAAGAAAAAAAGACAAAAGTAGAAAGAATGACAAGGCTAATTTGAACAAAAGATAATCAGTTCATCTACAAATGTCGAGCAGCATCAGAAATAATTACTCTGAGTCAAAGACCTAAAAGAAATGTAAGATAACAACAAATTGTATGTGAGTTTTATGTACCAGGCATAAAATACTGCTTTATTTTCATACTTTATTTGCATTATTTCATTTAATCTCCCCCAAATTCTATTAAGTAGACAGGGTGGTTAAAACCTAACTCTAGAGTCACAGAGTTACAGAAGTTCTGAGGTCCAGTCCTTAAAGGCAGGCAGGCAGGCAGGCAGGCAGGCAGGCAGGCAGGTTCCAGAGTCAGTTCTCTTACTAGTCTGCCTCCCGATCACCCAGATTCAGAGAAGGAAAATTCCTGCTTAAATGAAAAACAACCCAAACTCAAAGCCCAAATCACTTCCCAAAACAACAAATAAAGAAACCAAACATACCTCTGTTCCCTTTACAAGCAGAATACTAAAAGATGGATCACGCTGAGCAAAACTTAGGCTGAGTGGAAAGGCATGGCATGTTCATTTTCTATCACCAGTACAGAGACAGATACCACAGCAGGTTGTAACAACTGTTAACAGGGCTAAACTCTACTCAGTGAGACATGTGAAGTCAAATCAAAGTACCCAAAAGGAAAACAGACATGTTATTCAGGTTTTGAGGTTTATTAAAATAAAGTATTAGCAAACAATATGCAAAAACAAAGTGTTTTAAGAGTTATGGCTTTGAAGAGCACAATATGGTAAAACCTAATACATGTTTATAAGTATTAAAAAGGCATCAAAACTGAAGTATGTTGCTAGAACTTAAATTTTCTACAACATAAACAGAAGCATAACACGTACAAAAAAGCAGCACAGCTACAGTGCAGCCATTGGTTTGGTCTTTACCATCTGCATATAACATATCTTGAGAACATGGATAGGCACATACATTCAATATTCCCAATTATAAATCATATCCAATTTTACTGTAAGTGAATTTCAAACTGCAACTTAAACCCACCATTTAAAAAAGAAAATAATTTGCTCACTTTTATCTTCAAGAGTTCCTACAATTAAAAGTCATTTAATCAGAGACTATGAATAAGTCATAGCAATATCATCTCAATGGTATCAGAAAGAACAATCTGACCCCCTAAAAGATGTCTTCCTTTTCAATAAACATGGGGTTCTTTGGCCTCACTGGAGTTTTGTTATAGTTAATACCCGCTAGTATTAAGGAAGCACTTGCTATTAGTGGGCGTAGGGGAGGGGAATCTTCTGTTGCTACAGATCTCTCTTTTTTAACTATTACTAATTTGAACTCTTTTGAACAGTATCTTCAAATAAATCCTTAAAAGCAAAGGCTTATGATTACTTTAAGAATTTTAAATACTGAACTATTTGAACAAGAGCCACACAAATGTGATTGACTTTGCCATGGATGACAGAAGCATTAGTCTCTTCTAGGACCAGACCTTTTCTATTCAGCTAGCATGTAATAAGAGCAATGAGACATGCTGTACATGCTTTATAATGTGAGTGTTCTATTGATGCCAATGTTTTCATAAATTTGACCATAAACTGTTCTGGAAACTAAATAAAAACTTAAAACTAATTTTCTAAAATGGTTTCAGAGGTGTTATCTTTTGATGGATCTGTGGGCATCCTCATGGATTGGAAGAGAAACTGCACTGAATAAAGTTTTCATTTAAAACTCAGGGATGAGGAGTTGATAACTTCTTTGAGAAATACATTAGGCTTATACTTCATGAAACACTTAAGTGTTAATAGCTTCAATCCTGCCATTCATGAGACATAATTCCTAAATGAAAACAAACAAAAGGTCCGTCACACAGAATCTTGCTCACTTTAATGACTGTAACCTGAATAATGATTCCAAATAGAAATAATTTTTAATTAACTCAATTGAAAACATCAATAAAAGCAATTCAATGGTTTTCACCAGTGCCCACTGAAGGTGACAAGATTCTTTCATTCTAAAAAATTTGCCATGAGCCTAGTGAGTAAAATAAGGAAAACATCTGTCTATTACTAGGCAAATAATTGTATTCCACATGGCCAACACAACTCTGGGAGACTGAGAATGCAGCAAGATCTTACAGTTGTTTCACACTCAGTGACTGTCAGTAAGTATTCCTTTTACTCAGCAGAGGACTGTGAACTGAAACACATATGGTATTTCATTTGACAGAACTACACCATCCATTAGCTGGCTGCACTTTGTAAAAGTAGTAAATAATGTCACAGAAAACAAAAGGTATAGCATTCTCCTCCCCTCAAAAATGCACTTTTCTTCTCATAAGAAGGTGAGTATAGTCAAATCAAACTAACATTTTTAAACAGAAGATTGACATGGCTCCATATACTTTCAAAAGGCACCAAAAAATAACACTTGTTCTGATAGGGAAACCAGCTTATTTTCTCAAAATCATGTCTTCACGCTCATGCCTTAACTAAGTGTCCATTTGACTGCTACTTTGAAAGAAGAGATTGAGTCCTTTATCCAAAGCCTTTAAGCATGATTGATCAAAAGCACAGTTTCGAGTTTTCATGGCTTTCTTCTCTCAGAATGGTGTTCTGGGAGACTAGCATCGACGTAGGTACTGAAAAACGGAAGACAACAAGTGTGCAGGGTAATTGAGAGAACAATCTGCATTCTTTGACACATGAATGTTTTAAAATCAGCTGTGTGAACAACCACTGCTGATTCACACAAGAGCCAGACCAGTAGCCTCATCCTTGAGGCCCAACTGAAGAGCCTTCTATGGCTACAGGATATTAGTCCTTCCATGGGAGATGGATGACAATAAGAGCAATGAGATAAGCACATGTTTCTCAACATTAAAAGCATCCATAAAAGTCTAAGAAATTAAAAAGGGACCTTAAGGTGGAGCTAGAGACTAACAGTCTTATCATCTAGATTGAAAATTAAACAAAAGCTAGAAAAAGCATAACTTCCTACAACTGTAAACTATAAATTGCAGTGTTTGTTAATACAAAAGGGGTACCAAGGACGTTAAGGGCAAAGCATCTAAGTCCCAGTCACTTGAGTGTGTTTCACCAAGGTTATGCTAAAAACTGTAACCCATAAAAGTGCAAAATAAAAGATTAATGCATATCAAAATTAAGAGTTTCTGCAACACTGGCCCAAAGCAGCAGACACAGCTAAACAAGGCCGTGCATGCACTGTCACTAGCTATACAGTTGGACTTGGGACAGAACTGGAGTGAATGACAAGAGATTAGAGATCAGTTGTTTGCTTTTTTGTTGTTGTTGTTTTTTTTTTTTTTTAAAGGAAATGTTTTACAAAAGATATATTGAGTGAAGTCACATTACACTGACAAAACTTTAGATGTATTAAACATTAACATTATGATGTCATGTAGAAAAGTACTTGCTTTTACTGACCACTACTTAAAGAGCAGTGCATAGTGTTCCTTCAAATAAAACATTGTGAATAGTTTCCTTTAGGTCCCTACCATATGGTTTCTAAAACAATGAATCATGCTTGCTTTTTTTTTTTTTAAACTGGTGGGACAAAGAAACTAGTAAAACTATAGCTTCTGGAGGATCAAGAGTAGGAGGGAAGACTTATTTTCCACTGTATACCTTTTTTTATACTATTATAATGCTCCATCATGTGATGTACAATGATCTTTAAAAAAATTATTTTTAATATTAAAAAAAAAAATGATGGGACAAAATTCCAGTTTACGATCAATGCCAAACTTCTGAACTGGGGCATACTACTTATTCTGCATCTTTCACAACACTTTTGAGCATTAGTCACATGAATATGAATACAAACAAATGTAGATTTGTCACAAAATACAAATGTATTGGTCACAATTATGTAAGAGAAAACATGCTGTAATATCTGTTTTCCATGTAAGCTCACAGTATCTGTACTCAAAGTTTTCCTAGAATTAGTCAAGTCCACTAATAATACAATTGAAAAGAATACTTCTGCACTATGAAACAGAAGATATGGGGTTCAGAGGGGAGCCCATCTGAGTGAGGACTTTATCCAGCCACTGGAGAGGCCCATGAAGATGAATCTCAATCCAACATGGAGTGCTGGTAACATCTTGTCGGTGATATTCTGCTCCCCAACCCTAGAAAAATGAACAAGTATCATAGCAACAAAAAGAGTTTAACAGAAGAGGTCTGAGGAACCTTCAAAGCATTCGTCAAAAAATGCCATTATCTTTTCATCACATTTTTCCATGAACTTTCTGAAGCCCCCTTATATACAAAATGTACTTAATGGAAGTAACTATGACAAAACCAATCTTAGCATTTAAAATGGCACATTGTTGGGGTGTACTGAGCTGAAAAACACTTTAGCCTGAAAATCTAGAAAAAAAAAACTAGAATATATAGTATTTTCATTTTTATCAAGTTCTCAACTATTTATGGTAACCATAGTTCAAGAACTATGGAGGTTAGAGGAGAAAAAAATGAACATAAATATGCAACAGTCATGTTTTTATGTACGTGGTGGGGAATATGCTTCGTGGCTACAGAAAAACTGATGCATGCAAAACACCTCTAGCAAAGGAGCAGAAACACTGAGCTTTGGGACTGAATGCCAAAAACCCCAAAGACAAAACAAAACAAAACCATAGCATTTGCTCTTCTGAGGTTACGTTCTTAAGGACCATGTGGATATTGTTGTTGCTGTTAAGTCCCATTTGAGTCGCTTCCGACTCATAGCGACCCTATATAGGGTTTCTGAGACTTTAAATCTTCAAGGAAGCAGACAGCTTCACCTTTCTACCACATGTAGATATAGTATAAGCAAACAGAGAATCAAAACAGACTCACTTCCATCAAGCCAATTCTGACTCACAGCGATACTGTATAGGGTTTGAGGCTGTAAATTTTTACAGGAGCAGAAAGCCTCATATTTCTCCCAGGCAGTGGCTGGTGGAATTGAACTGCAGACCTTGTGGTTAACAGTCCAGTGCTACATTGTCACCAGAGCTCTTTGGAGATAATATAGGTTGCTTAAATATAATACTAAATGGCTTTCCCAATTTTGCTCACATGTCATCATCTCTGGTATACCCATAAAACCATGCCAAGAAAGTAAATGACAAATTTTAAAACTTTTCTGAACTTTGTAAATCCTAAATAATAAAGCTTAGATATAATAATTTCAGTTCTCACAATAATTGTATAGGTCACTCTACTGAATCTAGTAACAACTGAAACTGTGGAAGCTAATGAACTCAAAAAGCAATTCTAATATTAAATGCTTTCCAGCAATTTAGTCTTTAATAAAAACTCCTCAGCCTCATTTAAAAAAATAAACAAAACTAAAAAACCACAACAACACACATTTTACAACACCTGGAGTACAAAATGACATCTATCACGTGGCTAAAGTTGAAATTTAGCACAAATGAACTATCACGTGGCTAAAGTTGAAATCCAAGAATCTCATTTAAAAACCTATCAAATCAAGTCAAAAGTAACTATTACCTTTCATTTAGCAAAAAGTCTTTTCTTTCTTTCTTTCTTTTACTATACCAAAGTAATATAGTTATTTACAGTGGCTCAAATTAAGTTATAGGTCACAATCTACTCACCTTGACAAAACTCATTCGAATGGTGCACATTTTGGTGAGCTCGTATACTGCCTCAAACCCATGGTTGACAGACTGAGCCAGAAGCTGCGCAAATTCCTGATTGTTAAAAATTTTGAGGCTGCAGCTGCTGGGAATCTTACAGACAGTAGTGGGATGAAAGCCATGATGAAAGTTGCAGTTCCTACTCTGTACAAATATGCTGCTGTCACTGAGGCATTCCGCATATACCTCCCCGCCAACATAGTACAGATGAACACCTTAAAAAGGCAGGCATAATGAGACTCAGCTTAACAAAGCATTATAATGAAATCAGAGAATGCATGAGAAGCAACCTAGAATATCCATGATATCCACAGAAACTGCCAACAGTTTTTAGATAGAAGCTACCACTAGATGGCCTTCTGGGCCAAGTATAATCAAAAGTTAGTATCTGCATAAATACAAAACGGTTCTCAGAAAGTAAAGGACACCTCGAGTTGGCAATATATTTATTAGGTCATCAGTTCTTAGGTCTTTTTTCCAACAATTATTTGTCATCCCTCTATGAAAACAACATGAAACAATATGAAAGAAAGTAATGTCTAAAAATTTTAAAGTGCTTTATATATAGTAAATCTTTTTTCAAAGGAATGTTTGGTGCCATCAACTGGTATACCACTGAGAGCTGTTTAGCACAAAGTTCCACACTCTCTTTACTAATGGAGAGAACAGCATATTAAAGAGAACAGTATATTAAAAATCCGAAGTATAAAAGACGAAGTATCCAGTTGTAGGAAGAGTCTTTAAATGGCACATTTATTTTCCATGGGGGGTTAAAAAAAACTTTTGGTGTTTAAATAAGTATATGTTTACATGTTGTTGTTGCTGAGTGCCATCGAGTCAATTCCAACCTATAGCAACCCTGTATAGGGTTTCCAAGGAGCACCTACCTTGCAGTTCAAATGACTTTGCAGTCTGATGCATTAAATCACAGCGCCACACCAGGACTCCAGATATTTATATAGATATGGATAAAATGTGAATACAGTCTCAATACTAAAAATAAAAAACACATAGCTAAAGCTGAACATATGCTCCTAACCCCTCAAAAATGTCGTTTTATTCCCCAGAGCTAGCAACTGCTATTAGTTTGCTATATATCTTTTTAAACACGAATTTAATTACATATATATGTTTCTACAGACTATTTTTATGTGGCTGTATGTGTGGAGAGGAGTCCTGGTGTGGTGCTGTAGGATAAGCACTGGACAGCAAGGCCAGTTTAAGCTGCAAGGTCGGCAGTTCTAACCTATCAGACGCTCCTCGGAAACACTATCCAGGGTCTCTATGAGTCAGAACTAACTCAGTGGAACTTAACAACAACGTATGTGAGGAAAGGTCTGTATGCGTGCATTAACAAAAAATGGCAGCACACTGAAACACATATTCCCTCGTTTAACTTAACAATGTATCTTGGAGATTTTACTATATCCCAAACTACAGACCTACCAACACATATCCATGAGGGTATTTCAAAAAACTCATGGGAAATTTCCATTCTTTCTTAATTCCAGGTTTCCACAAACTTTTTGAAGCTCCCATGTATATGTTCTAAGTGTTGTATATAATTCTAGAATGAATAGACCATAATTTAACTGTCTACCAAGAGACATTTAGAATATTCCCTATCAATCGACATTTTAAATACATTTTAAATGTATGAGGCTCTCTGCTCCCATAAAGATTTACAGCCTTGGAAACCCTGTGCAGGGTCGCTATGGGTTAGAACTGACTCGACAGCACTTAACAACAACAACAAATATATAGACAGTGCTACAAGGAACATCCTTGTATACACATACCTCTGTATACATGTGAGTTACAGACTTACATCAGAACGTGATGATAAAAACTTTTACTTCTGAGCAAATAAAAATCACTCATGAAGAAAAGGATTCTAAAACCAGATATTTGAAAAAAAGGGAAAACTGATTCTAAAATATCAGAATTTACTAAATAAATCTCTTATTCTGTAGTAAAGAAAATCAATGCACAAAAGTGAGCAATAAGTAATTTCATCTTAAAGAAAAAAAATTATAGCAACTTGGCAGTAAAAGAGAACGGAACTTTTGTTCTCAATTGATTCTTGGCCAAAATATTTTCTTACTTATTTCTTATATAAGAGATCCCATTCCAGTTTCAGCTACTTACCTTTTGTTTCTAATCTGAACTAAGACTTTCACATCAAAGAAGCAAAACACAGCAAGTGAGAAGAATAAAACTTGAGATAACCAAGACACTCAGTCTGTGACTGCTTTTGTTCCTGACCACTTCCATGCATGACACTTGGACATTTCATTGCAATGGGAAATTTCTTGATTGTTGTAGTAAGTCTTGAAAGATATTTTCTTATGTGAATTTAAAAGGGATGAAGGTGGCAGTAAAGCCATTAAAGATTTATAATCATTCAACTAGATTTCCTACCTATAACTCTTGCTCTTCTAACATTAGAAGTAATTTCCACCCAAAATACTCCACAAATACTGTAATTTGAAAATTCTACTCCTTTACCAACATTTTTCATTCCACATATGTTGGTGTATGGTGTATGCCATGGACTTGCAGTGACCCTCCAGATACTAATTATGCATACTATGAGTCAGGCACTGCTCTACCTGCTGAAGAAATAGTTGTGGTGGTGGTTGTGTGCCCCCAAGTAGTTTCCACCTCATAGAAACCCTGGTATATGGTTTCCAAGGCTGTAAAGCTTTACAATAGCAGAAGTCTCATCTTTCTCTCTTTAGGGCAACCATTAGCTTGGAACTGCTAATTTTGCAGTTAGCAACTCAGCTCATAATCCACTAAGCTACCAGAACTCCTTGAGGAAATAGCTGTAAGCAAGGCAAATTCCTACTTTTATATAAGTGCTTCTATTCTGACAGAGAGACACTAAAAAAACCCAATAATAATCAAAGAAGTAATATGGCTCTAGATCCTATCCTAAGTACTATGAAGAAAAACAAAGCAGCATAAGGAAAAGGAAAGTGATTAGTTGATTACTACAATTTTCACATTTACAACTTGAGGGCATTATGCTTCTGATTCCTTACAAGATAGATACATGTTACAGAGCAAACACTATAAATAGCCAAATCCAACTCAATTTAGGGAAATATCAAGATTACCTTTTCCAATATGTCGCCTAGTGTTTTCAATTGTAGAGTTACGATTCACATTTGATAATAATCCCAAGCAAAATCGACTTTTGTTATTTGAAGGATCTGTGAAGCCATCCACTAACACACTAGTAGAAGATGCATGAAAAGCTTCTCCAACACGATTGTTCAACTCATAGTAGACAATTGAACACCAGTGTTTGGGTTCTTCATAGGCAACAGGCTGAACATCTGTAAACAAACCAAACAGAAAAAAGTTTAATGAATTTCTGTAAACAAACCAAACAGAAAAAAGTTTAATGAATTTAACAATCCAGATGAAAAAGAAACTTTTTAAAAATTATTATTATATCACTCTGTCTCACTGTCCTTCCTGGCTTTGAGTATGTAACAGTGAAATAGTAAAAAATGAAACATAAATGAACATCAGAAAATAGTCCCAAAGATGACTCTTCAAAATTACAGAAACACAAGGATAGGCAACATAACATTTTAAATTGTTTTTCTAACAGAACCTAATCCAAGTTCAAACCTGAGATGGCAAACCTCATTTTAGCAACCTGAAAGAATTAACTATACCAGTATAAATAAAATCAAGCCAAACAGAAATCTGAAGTAAAAATGAAATGAACATTAATCATTGGATAAAAAGTAGAACACAGCTTAAGCATGAAATAAAATACTAGTCAGGTTCTTGTTGTTGCTGTAAAATGCCATTGAGTCAGTTCTGACCCTGTATAGGGTTTGAATAGTCCAGTGCTTATCCTAAATGCCACACAAGGACCCCAGTCTTTGGTTATGGACTCACCAGGACACTCTTACTAGTGCAAATGTCAATAATGCACAATGAACACAAGGGGCAAAAGGGAACATAAAAGCTCTTCATACCGTGTAGTTAGCTTTCCCAGAGCTGAACTCAGTCTAATGAATCAGGGACTCTCAACTTCTTTCAGGGCAATATTGAAAACTGGTCATATGGTCTAGGTAGGCTGTACAAAAGAGCTGGTTAACTTTTAAACCTCAATTCTGACTAAACTGCCAAGAATTCAACAGATGAGGAAGAAAAGAGGAAAAGTACACTAATGTGGACCCACAGAGAAATGCCCTAAGAGTTCAGATTTTAAAGACGTGTCTATAAAAGATAGGACAAGAGGGGTCCATAACCAAAGATGAGTACAGATGAGTAGCAGGTAATTCTAACAGTGCCAAGAAGGTTAGAGGCAAGAATAAAAGTAAGGAGATAGCTACAAGCTTTCACAGATGCCCTTTTAACAATAAGAGATGGAGTGATTTTGATTGATTGAAGGCATCTAGATTGTAAAGAAGAAATATAAACTGTTTAGTTATAGGAATCTTGGTGTGGTGCGAGTTAATGCTGTGGACCGCAATATCAGTTTAAATCACAAGGTTGGCAGTTCAAGCTCACCAGCCACTCCTTGGAAATCCTACACAGGGTCTCTGTGAGTTGGAACTGACTCGATGGCACTTACACTAACAGGGCAATGTGATGTGGTTTTGATGGAACTGGTTCTTACAATTTCTTTAAGAACAACAACAACAATTCACAGACTATGTGATCCTATATGCAGAAAACCCTACCTACTGCCATCACCTAGATTCCAACTCATAGTTGTCCTATACAGGGTATGTTGTTGTTTGTTGTTAAGTGCCATCGAGTCGGGTCCATAAGAGACTGTAAATTTTACAGAGCAGACAGCCTCATCGTATTCCTGTAAAGTGGCTGCTGGATCTGAACCACTGACTTTGTGGTTAGAAGCTGAACACTTATTCCACAGTGTTATCAGAACTCCTTAGAAAACCTTAAGAATCCACATACCCCCATACACATAAAAGAACCCTCCTATGCTAGAACTTTCTCATGACATTTTCAGTGGCAAAACACTTACAAGTAGGCCACACCTCTCCTTCTTCCTTCCTAGTCTGTCTTAGTCTGGGAGCTCAGGTGACCATCGGTAACCTTGCTGGTATTTAAAATGTCAGTGGTTATGTTGTCGCTGTTGCTAGGTACTGTTGAGTCGGTTCTGACTCACAGCAGCCTTACGTACAACAGAATGAAACCCGTCTACCTCACACTTGTTATGCTTCAGCCCATTGCTACTGCTATGGTGCCAATCCGTCTCA